ATATTTTGGAGAAATTACATTTTTATTAAATAATGTCAAGTTTGATCATCCGTTTATGTAATTTTTATTTTCATTGCATGATTATGCAAAAGAATAAGGTATCATTTTCTTGTTAATTGTGTGAAATAGCCAGAACAACCGCAGTGATGTGAAGTCGATGTTTATCGAAAGCATGCTGTGAAACATACAAATAGTAGATATCTAAATGTTATGCACAAATTTACTTTAAAAGAACTAGCGTGAAACTGACTTATTANAATTTCATCTTCCGATTAAAATGGATCGGTCTTTGTAAATTTTAATGGGAGATTATTCAATATTATCAAAATTAATTTTTATATATTTCGTCTGTTTTCCCTTAGTTACGACTTAGTTGCAGCTGCAGCCGAAACTAAATTTTAAGTTGGTACTTAGCCAGAAAAGTCGAAACTAAGGCGACTATGAATAGCTTTAGTTGTGACTTAGAATAGTTTCGACTTAGTTGAGTACTAAATATGACTATGAATATGCGCCTTTGACTACACCTTTTCCAAGAGTACTTCAGAAAGCGTCAAATGTATTTCAGAAATTGTAAAATGTACTTCAGAATAGTCAAGTAGTCAATTGTACTTCAGAAACCGTAAAATGTATTTCAGAATAGTAAATTGTACTTCAGAAACCGTAAAATGTACTTCAGAATAGTCAGTTGTACTTCAGAAACTGTAAAATGTACTTCAGAAGACGAAAATTCGTACGCATTGTAATTAATTAAATAGTATATATTATAGTGATTTTAAATATATTTACTTTTTAATATATTTTCAAATTACAAGTACATTAGTTTTTTCGCAATGTCTGTATATTTAAGAACGAAACAATTAATTTATTAATGCAGTTTTAAATTATGTACCAGCTGGCATATCGAATAAAGATAGTGCATCTGGGTGAAAAGTGGTAGAATGTTGAATGGCTCTGCCACAATCGCCAACAACAACTGTTAATGTACTTCTAATTTGAAAATATATTAAAGAGTAAATATATTTAAAATCACTCTAATATATACTATTTAAATAATTACAATGCGTACGAATTTTCGTCTTCTGAAGTACATTTTACGGTTTCTGAAGTACATTTTACGGTTTATGAAGTAAAATTGGCTATTCTGAAGTACATTTTACTGTTTCTGAAGTACAATTGACTATTCTGAAGTACATTTGATGCTTTCTGAAGTACTCTGCGATGCTACATAACTTCAAATATAACGAAAAATAGTGTGTTTTGAACTTTTAGGTTAGGATATCTGAAACATTTGATTCGGTATAACGGTCAAATTCGGATTCAGCGCAGCAAAATCCTTCGGTAATATATGTTGGTGTTCTGCTTCTTCTTGTTGGCCTGCTTAAATGAAGATTTATGGTAACGCCAATTGTTTTACGAAATGTGTCTATGAATAAGTAACAAAAGTATCGAGACCAGTGTGAGTTTCGAAAGTTTTTTTCATGTGAATATTCCCGCCGTCATCCCCGACTATTATTGTAGGCTGCCTCAAAAACCGAATACTTTATGGAACTTAAACTGAAAGATTTAAATGCCAAGTATGTGGAAATAACCACTGAACTAGAGCTGTCAAACTATCGACGATACTATCGATAGTATCGATAGTCTGGTCACTTGAAATAACTATCGATAGTTTTAGTACTATCGCCACTATCGTTTCATTGATAGCGTATTCTCTTTCCTAGCGCTTTTGACATTTGCACGTATTGGTTCAACAAAACATTGCAGCATTATTTCATGAACGAACGAATAAAATAAAGATCACCCAGGACGTTGTGCGAGAGAAAAGTATGTTTTTCACAGTGACGTCATTTTTTCGCCACGGAATGAAACCATGTGTGTGAGAGAAACAACCGATTAAAAATGACGTTATCAACTATTATTTTTTTCTCAAATGCAATTTTAAATACGCGGTTGCCGCGCTGGGTGATCAGTTTAGTTGGTTCATGGCATTAGTTGCGTTCCTTATCTCCCAGAAATAGCCAGAAAAAGTCCGAAGTAGTCAGATTTAGTCCAAAAAGCGTTCCTTAACTCTAAAATAACAGCAAAAATGAGAGAGCAACACTCAGTGAGAATGACTCTCTTCAGTCCGAAGTAGTCAGATTTAGTCAGAAGAATTTTTGCTGGCAAAATCTTGAAAAGTGTCAAACTCAACTGAATTTAAATTAACGGAAATTAAATAATACGCGAAAAGTGAGAATAATGTAAAAAGTAAAAAAATTAATTGAAATTGGAAGGAAGCAAAAAAATAATTGATATAGCAAGTGCCAATATTGTGCTTGTGCTTGAGTGAATGTGTTTTGTACATACATTTCTATTCTTGTTTGACGTTAGTTTTGTTGTTGCCATTCTTTGGACTAAAAATTTGGATTTTGCGTTCATTAACTTTTTCCTGTTATTCTCTTTTAGTGAGTGCATTTTGCTTACGCTCTGACATTTTGACACTTTTCAGATTTTAGTCAAAAAAGATAAGGAATGAACGTATTATTTCTAAAAGCGCAATTTTTTATTTTAAGCGGGGGAATAGCAGAGGTTACATTGCCGTCTTAAGAGCGTGTCAGACCGGGCGATGCAGTATATTTCAAAAGACTGTCAGATTGAGAAATTTCAGAAAGCAGTTGCATGAGCAGTGGCACCTTGCATGTATGTATGTAAAGTGTCTTTCGCTCCTTGACTGTTTACACGGCGAATGAATTTCTAGCAATATTTCTCAATACTAAAATGCAACCGTGAGCCGCTAAAATAAACAAATTTATAAAAACAAGATAACGAAAAATAAATGGATTTAGAAAAACATATGAAATGGGTCGATACTATCGATAGTATCGATAGTCACCCTTAAGACTATCGTAAAACATCGATGGACTTGACTATCGATAGTTTGACAGCTCTACACTGAACTGTACTGAAAGAACATCACCTAAATCACCAATTTGACTTCTGTGTATGCCTCTGCTCGTCAATGCATGGCTTAGCTATTCAACCACTGACTCTTGCGTTCAAAGACACTATATATGGGGCGTTCCATACCAAAATGGACGGGGTTCACACTTCATGTGTTTGATTTGTTTCAAATTTATAGGGTTGATGGACAAACAGAAATAATAAATAAATATACAATTTGAGCTTGATTAATACATTTTTGAATTCTTTAGAGCACAAAAACAAATCGATTTAATAGTTTTCCAAATATCTCGAGCGCGCGGAAAAAATTTGAAAAAAAAATCACATATACACACATGAACCCCGTCCATTTTGGTATGGAACGCCGCCCCAAATGCTTAATTTGATCTAATTTTTTTCATTTATGTAAGAGATGAATTTTTAAACTAAGAAAGACTGATATATATACATACTAGCCGGTCTCGTATGCGCGAGGCTTCGCCACGCGCTCAATCTATAGATATTAAAAAAGATGCGATTGACAACTAAACAGGTTGGAGGCCAAGCCCTTTCACTTGACCGCTCATTTCTTGTAATCTAACGAACAGCCCACATTTGTTTTATTTTTCGCATAGACTGCTACCCTCTTCGAAAAATAAAACCTTACTGCAAATCGGAAAGTCAAGCACTTTCCTTTGACACCTAATTTTTTTAAATCGATTGAACTGTGCAAATCTATAGGCATTAATAAAAAATGCCCTCGCGTATTATGCATACATAATTTTTAATTAGCTGGCAACCCCACTGTAACAAAAAATAAAAACTTATTGCACATGCAGAGACCATACCCTTTCAATTGGTACCTAAGTTTTTACAAACAAACTGAGATTTATGATTTTTGAAAAGTGGCAACCTCACTCAAAAAGTAATACATTATTGAACAGTCCGAGCCGAGTCCTTTTATTTGACACCTCATTTTTCGTAATCCAACGAACAATGCGGATTTAATAATTTTTTAGGTGACAACCCTATAGGAATTTAAGGTACTAAAGATAATATTCCTATCGATACAGATTATACTTAAAACATCTCTTATAAATCCGTTCAATAGTTTTTGAGATTAGCGTGGCCAAGATAAAGCTAATACTATGTATAGAAGATAGAAATTTATAAATAGGTGGCAACCCTATTCAAAAAATGATAGCTTTTGTACATGCGAAGGCCAAGCCCTTTCATTTGGTATCTCATTTTGCAATCCAACGAACGTCGAAAATCTTTTAGCTTTTTAATAGGTGGCAAGCCTACCCAGAAAAATAATACATTATTGCACATGTAGAGGCTAAGTCTTTTGATGGCAACCCTATTAGAAAAAAAACAATAGTGCTTTAACTTTTTATTGCATATAATGTTTCAATTTTTAAATTCAAGTACTAAGTAAAATAAACATTATTAAAAATTACTAACTCTCCCATTTTTTATTTACCTAAATAGCTTAATTTACTTACCTAATTGTTTCTTAATCCATCCGCGGATGTTAGCTATTAGACATCCGCGGATGCGAATTCCACATTCGCAACATCCCTAATACATACATAAGTATAAAACGAAAATCATTGTTCATATGAAAGTGTACGGAAGGTTATTTATATTCGGCTCTACTTCGCATGCAGACTGCAAACTTGCCAAATAACTATTTTTTCTCTTAATTCCGCTTTAGAATAATTCGACGAATTTTCATTTCCGGTTTCTACACCCAGCTAAACACAGCCACAGGGTGTATTTATATGCACAGGGTATGCCAGACGAAAGTGAATTTAGAAATTACTAAACTAAAATTCATTTGTCCTATAAATAAACGAACTTTGCAGTTTCCATCAACGTTAATGAGGAAAGTACCTCTTTCTAGCCCAGCATTATATACTTTTCTTGCACTTTTATTAAATCTTGAAAAACAGTTTTCAAACATTTCTTTTTTTGCCTTCATTTAACACGCTATCGCTGTTCCATGCCACTACGTTCCTCTTGCCAATTGCAAGCGCATGCGTTTGTTGTGTCGTTGTTGCTGTTGCTTTTGTACAGTGGTTGATTTGCTTACCATACATACACACAAACACAAACCTAACAGCACCACAAATCCCTACCGCCCTACTCTCCCTCATCGAAGAACCAGTTGGCTGGTTGGATTTTCGTGTACGTGTATGACGTCTTCAATGTTTGCTGCGAATTTAATTCAACACCGACTTCGATACGAAACGGACGCGCGCGCGCTTAATGCTGAATTGACTGGCATCGTAGTGAGAAACGTAGAATAAATGGAATAGTAAATAACTACATTAAAATACATAAGTATGTATATATGTATGTAAGTGCAGTGAAAAGTTTTTGAAATCTGTAAATACATAATTATGAATTAAAAACCACAAAGTATAGAGCGAAATAACGTTAAAATGTATAGTTATATGTAGTGTGTGCTGATTGCGGATTCATATACTTAAATTGGCTTTATTAGTGACAACAAAGTCGAAAAAGAAATCCCAAAAAAGTGAATGAAAGCATATTTTTTTCGTGTGTGAATTTAACGCCAATAAAAGCGTACCAAAAACCGTATGCGGTAGAGAGCAGACGTCGCTTCCCATACTCCAAACGAAGGTCACAGCGGTAGGCGCCTTTGACTTGGCCAACTCCGATATATAAATTTATACGAAGGGCTTTGCTTACGTTTCTGTTTATACCTATCATCTCCACTTGTGTGTGCTAATTCCGTTGTTGTGTTGTTGTTCTTCATATAGTATGAAAGTGCACTTTTCTTGGGAATGCGTGGCTAAATACCCGTGCAATGGCAGTACCTGAGAATCGTAGGGTAATCGTAAGAGGATATGTAGATTTGTGAGCGAAAAGGAAACGGAAAAAGGCAAAGGTTGGCGGAAGCGACGTCAGTTGGTGGATGCGTCACAGGCACTTAAATGCGCATTTTTGTGTGAAATTCCTGTTGGAAATGCTTAAACGAGCGCAAGCAACTCGTTCTTTTTGATTTTTCGCTGAATTGCCAGTGAGGCAGTGAGGGTTGAAAGGGAATATTTTAGCTAGGGCAGCAGCAGACAGGCGGCAGGCAGCAAGCAACGTTTTGTGTGGGCTTTGTGTGCGATCATGCGAAAAATAATTTACAATCAAAATATGTGTGTGCTAAATATTTGTTTTGAATTGATTGAAAATAAATAAATGAAGGATTGAAGTGTGTGTGAATGCGAATGTGAATGGGATGGATGGTAATTGGTGTTGAAACATTGGAAATGATTGGATAATTGGCTAAAGCAGAAACTCAACAAATAAAAAACGAAATAAAATGAAAGAAAATTAAACAAAATGAATTGGAACGAAATATTTTCAAGCAAATAAATCCAAAATAAAAAAAGTACAAAAATTTTTTATATAAAATTGGTTAAAACTGAATAAAATATATGAACAATTTTAATTTAATAAACAAAATAAAAATATATACATAAATATAAATTAAAATAAAAAACAACGAAATAATTAAAAACAAAATTAAATTAAATAAATTCAAATAAAAACAATTAGTGAAGATAAAATGGAAATACGGAATAAAAAAAAATTAAGTAAGCTTAAATAAAATAAGACGAAATAAAACAAAATTATAGTAGTAAAATAAAAATAGATAAATAAAAAATTAAATAAAACAAAAAGTTATTTTTTTTTGTTATTTGTGGCCTTTATAACAATTACGTATATTCAAACATTTCATTGAGCTTGAGGTAAAAAGTAAATTAAAAGAAAACGAAATAGATAAAAATAAATTAAATAAAAAAGTAAAAAAGGATAAAACTAAATAAACATATGTAATAAAATAATAAAAACTTAAATTAAATGAACAAAATAAATAAAATCCACTCAAATAAAAAACTTAGTTACATAAGGTAAAATGGAAAAAGGAAATAAAAAAAGAAAAAAGGTAAAATGAAACAAGACAAGATAAAGCCAAATTAAATAAATAAATAATTAAACTAGAAAAGGAAATAAATAAATAAAGAACTATATAAAAATGAATTAATTAAAATAGTCAAATAAATAAAAAATTCAAATAAATAAGAGCTCAAACAAAAAATTATGTTAAATAACAAAAAATAAAAGAAAATATTTGAAAAAAAATAAATAAAAGACAATACACAAAATAAACATAGAACACAAAGTAAAGTAGAATGAAATAAACTAAAATAAATAAAATAACATAAAATAAAGCAGAAATAAATATACGCAACACACTAAAGGAAAATAAATAACACATCTTTAATTAAAAAAATGAAAAATATAATAGCAAAAAAATAAAGTAATTGAAAAATAAAAAAGAGCTATGGAACTGCAAATATTATATGTATTAATAAATCTAGATCATATAAGTATGAAAAAAAAAGATAATAAAAAAGTAATAAAGCTGCATCAAAAAAAAAAAAACGAAAATATGTAGTTTGTAAATAAACTTGGCTATTTCCTATATTCTGATTTATGATAATTTATTGTCAAAAAGGTAATTATTCGAACAAACAAAAATATTATTAAGATTATGAAAAATTCTTTCAATTAAACACAAAAGTAAAATAAAATATAAAAATTAAGTAAAATAAAATTAAAAAATAAGTAAAATAAAATACAATAAAATGAAGTAAAAAATAAAATGAAATAAAAAAATAACATATCAAAACAGAACATAAGATAAAGTATGTAAACGAATTAAAAAAAAAAAATAAAATGAATGAGTAAAATAATATGAAATATACGTACATATAAAAAATTAACAAAAAATAAATTAGAATATATAAAAAAATTAATTTGTTTTTGTTATTTACGGCCTCAAGCTCAATAAAATTGTTGAATATAAAAAATTAATAAAAAGAAACAAGTAATAATAATTGAACTGCTATACATGTAACTTTGCTTTGTTTAATGTCATGGAAACTCTTTCAAACTGGTCTGTCAGACCACAAAGCGCGTTCTGGGGTTAAGCTACAACCAGAAAGATAGAAAGCCAAAATTTCTCCAAAAATAGTTTATTATGACATCATCGTAAATCGATTTAATAGATAGTAAACAACTAATCTGATGTCTGCTTTTTTTTTATACAAACACTGACATTTACAAACCGGTCTACAAATTTATTGATATTTCAGTTAATTACATGTAATTTTATCCCCAATCCGTCGCCTAAAAGGAAAAGGAACCAATTACAAGAAAATACGTCCGCTTCGCAACGTACAGTTCAATATGAAAACAGCACAAGCCATGCAGTCCAGCGTCGTTTGCACAACCACTACCCACCTATTTATCCACATTTGCCACACCAAGCCACCAGCTTCGTCCTCGACAAATGCCACCCCATTGCATTGCTGCAGGGTTGCCGGTCTGCCGTGCCACCCAATTGTTGGCCTCTGTCCTACGTCCTACTTTACGTTTGTGTGCACTGTCCTGCCTGCCTTTGTAGTTGATCCTTTTCACAAAATTTTCGTACAAGCGGTTACTTCAGGACATTGGCCGCATGACGCGTCACCGTTTTATTTATTTATTTTTTGTTTGCTCTGTTGGCTTTGTTTTGCTTCAGTTTTCTTTATTTTTAATTTTTTCTTTTGCGCTGTTACATTTTGCAATTTCAAGTAAGCATTTCATTTTCTTTTTACTTTTAACTTTGTTGTCGTTTTAAGTACTTTGAATTATTTATTATTGTGTAACAAAATAGGTAGGGGATTACATGAAACATATTGTATGTATGGGATGACGACGTCTTCTCTTTACCGCCCTCTGAAAAAGTGCCTTGTAATAAAATTAAAAACGAATGTGCTTAAACAAAGTACATGAGAGTATGCCATGTAATATTAATATGCATTTTTTTATCTCTTTGTGGCAGTTGAAACATTCAATCAAATGAATAAAAGTGCTTTTATTGCGCATTTCTAATAAAACTTACACAATCACGAACGTTTTTGCAAAACAAAAAAATCAAGCTGAGGAATTTTTTAGTAGCTGAACGACAATTGAAACTCATATTCATATTTTATTGTAATTAGAGGTGAGTACAACAAGCATTGAATATTAAAAATAATTAAGTTTGGCTTTTAAAAAAATAAGTTTAAAAATATTTATAAACTGGTATTTAAACACGAATATTTGAATATTTACTATGCATATTTTAACCTCTTTTTAGTTCTATTTGTATATGTGTAATAGGGGTCATAGACGGTCAATCATTTTGATTAATCGATTGTATCAAGCATGATTGATTGTCTAGAAACCTCGGAGTCTGGCAAGCAATTGCGTACATGAATTTTAGGTATTCGAAGAGCATGCTGGAATCCAGGTACCTCAATGTGCTGGAAAGTCTGTGAATGGCAGGAATCACTTCGATTATATTTGCATACTTCTTCTCTAAGCACTAAAACGAGAAAAAAAATTAAAACTCTACCGGTTCCTTCAAATGATTTTCCTTTAGTCGAGGAGGATTAGAATCGCGCAACACTTTCAATTTTCTTGAGTGAAATCATATCTAATTTCATACCAGAGCTTGGCCCCCGCCACAAGAGGGCAACTAAAGTCAAGGCAAGAAATGCCAAATCTATATTCCAAACCACTTAAAATACTAGAGACATTTTAATACTAGAAAACTCAATTGAGAACCAGAGTCCCCCAAACGATTAATGAGTCGCGTCTATCAATGTACTAAACCGTTATTTCAAACAGTTTGGTCATGTAGGCTAGGCTTAGTATTTAGCCTAGATACCCACGCCCAACCATAGAAAATTTTTGGGTATGCAGTTTTATGGCCCATACAATTTTAATCGAATGACGTGCAAGTTTCAAATGGTTCAAAAATCGCGTTGATTTTTGAGAATTTCTTTTTGGTTACGGATTTTTGCATATAAGTATGAATTTCTTATGAAATAAAACGCGGGAGACCGTCATCAAGAAAATTTCAAAATATCAACGCAAGTTTTTGTAAATTGCACTTGTTATATTAAAAAAGCCTCAAAAAAAAAAATCTCAAAAATTAATGCGATTTTTGAGCCTTTTCAAACTTGCACTTCATCAGACTAAAATTGTATGATACTACAAAACTGCATACCAAAAAAAAAAATTCCATAAATTCAGAATAAAAAGGTGAAATTTTGATGAATTTTTTTTTGAATTTTCCTAAATTTTTTTGTAAAGTTTGAAACTGTGATTTGCACAGTTTTGATATATAGAAATAACAGAAAAAAAATGTATATGGTAAAATATTACGAATATTTGAAAAAAGAAACAACACGTGGTCATTTGTTTGACTCACTGTGTGTGTATATATAACAAATCGACGCTACGATGCTAGGATGAAGGTGACAATAATCGATTAAATTACAGCAACATAAAAAAACTAACGGAAAAAAATCACGAATAAAAGAATATTGGGGCAGAAGAAAGGCGCGAAAGGGGAGCATGTTACAGTGCTTTTCCAGCGCCAAGGGAAAAGTGTACAGGTGTTCGCAGACTCGTTGAGTTATTGGGAGTAATACATAGCCAAGTTCAGTGCAGCAAGTGTTGTTAACTCCACGAAGTTTGGGTATATACATGCACATTAGGGTGGTCCAAAATAAGTTAAGGCGGAATTTTACTGCTCTCACCCCCTAGGATTGTTCTACATATATCGAAAAAAGTAGTCCCCTAATTTTTATTGTGAAATCAAAAAAAATATTTAGAGGACGCTCAAAGCGCTCAAAGTTTTCCATGTATTTTTTATGGGGAAAAAACAAGTTTTCGTAAAAATGGTATGGAATTCTTGAAAATCAATATTTTTCGATCGGAAACCTCTGGAGACTTCCAATAACAATATCCAATTGCGCATTTAACCTTTTTTTAATATTAAAGATGTTTTCTTTATCCCCCCATTACATTTTCTAGGGGTTTTGGCGGACCCATAAGATAAAGTTACTATAAAAAAATTTTTGAAAAAATAATTGGGTATTACTATTGGGAATCTCCTGAAGAGATTTCCGGTCGAAAAATATTGATTTTAAAGAATACCATAAAATACATGGAAAACATTGAGCGCTTTGATTAAGCTACATCTAAATATTTTGTGGTTTAAAAATAAAAAAAAATATGTATAGGCATATTTTTTCGATATAGAACAATCCTACGGGCATACAATTTCCGACTTTACTTTTTTACATGCCATTTTGGACCATCCTAATGTACATACCTACATATACATATAAGGATATACCTGCCGGCAGCTTGGACAGCAGTTCCATGTAAACATATGTGTAAAGTTGTGTTACGGCGACGGTTTCCCAAAGGACGAGCGTCACAATGACACGACACAGACACATCCACAGACGCAGCACAGCTGCACGAGCCGGCGTAATGGTAGCCATACATACATACATATGTACATACCTTTGGGGTTATGAAGGGGCGTTAGGCAGTGAAATGTAGCGCAATGAACAGTGGAGGCAGACGTATCTGCCGATGAAGTGGCAACCGGCTGCGAGTGAGTTCATGTAAACAAGACAACATAATCAAAAAGTTTTGGGTGCTACAAAATCAGCAGTAACGCATTTTGTTCCTTGAAATGAAGACAGAATTGTACAAATATAAAGTAATAAAAAGAAATAAATCCCCACATACATACATATGTATGTATGTACTTACCTACAATTTCACTTTAAGCCGGAAATATTGCGTAGTTTTTGTGGAGTACAAAAAGGCTAAGGAGCTCCTGCTACCAGTGGAAATGTAAAGCAAAACTCATTACACAGCACCTTTGAGGGCAAATTCGTGCACGTGACACATCCTCGAGTGGCCCTAAGGAAATGGGAAGAATAAAACCCAAGCAATGGTAAAGCCAAGCAAACAAAGACAAGAAAATGGTTGAAGTTTCCTTAGCATTTCCGAAGAAGTTTCTTGCCTTTGAGTTGTTGTAGCAGAACTCACCCTTTCGAGTGCGACAGACGCAATGAAAATGTCATGGATTACACAGCGTGGAAAATTGAAATTATCCTATAATTACATACGTTGCTGTGCGATACACGAATTTGTTGTTGTTGCTGCTGTATTGAATTTGATTTTGAGACGCGCTTGCAAATTTATGATTTCATGGATTAACGTATAGCACACAAAATGGTATAATTTGGATTCGATTGGGTTTGAAAAGGATACACAAATAATTATGTGACAGCACGTAGTTGCCTTGATGGGCAAACCCCAGATGAAAAGGGGAAATAATCTGGGTAAATTAAAGAAGCGATATTCAAATATTCTCTATGTTGTGCCTTAAGCGTGTTTTTGCCTGTTAAATCCGCGAATTCCTCAACTTTTGGCTGCAAATAGGTTGCCAATGCTATTCGGAAAAATTCGTCATATCTGACCTATTATTATTATTATTTATTTATTTAATCAAATGGAATAAATCCTTACTGACTATAAAACAAGAGAGCTTATATACTACCTAAAATAATTAAGTAGGACAAAACGAACTGTTCCAAATGAGAGAGACGGGTCATATTCAGAGAGCTCATTTAGCTCAGAAAGGGTTCTGAACAAAGGCGAGAATTTTACATAGTTAGATTTAGGAAATCCCAGGTAGAATAAAGAAACACGACGCAAATTATGAGACGGGACGTTTAATGCTAACTTATCCAAAAGATTAGGACAATCGACTGTGCCCTCCAATATTTTGGCCACAAAAGAGGCTGCTAGGAAAGAACGCCTAGTATTTAACGAACTTAAGTTAATAAGTTGACAACGGGAAGTATACGGAGGTATAGGCTCAGAAAATTTTAGAGAACGCAAGGCAAATTTAATAAAAACTTTTTGAATCTTCTCAATCCGCTTTATATAGACAGCCTGATAGGGACGCCAAATGAAAGACGCATACTCAAGCCTAGATCTCACTAACGTGACATAAAGAAGCTTCAGAGTATAGGGATCCTTAAACAACTGACCATTACGACGTACGAATGCTAGCATTGCATAAGCTTTGGAAACTACGTAGTTAATATGGGTTGCGAAGGTTAATTTTGAGTCGAAGTAAATCCCTAAGTCTTTAACCTCTGCGACATAACTAAGTTCATGGCCCCCAATATTGTAATTAGTTTGAACGGAAAGAAGCTTTCTGGTGAAAGTGGAGTAGGAACATTTACTAACATTTAAAGATAAGGAATTAAGAGAGCACCAAGAATGCAGGTTATTAAGCTCAGCTTGCAGCAAAAGAGAGTCTTGTGAGGTTCTGATTACTGAGTAAACCTTTAGATCGTCAGCATATAATAAATACTTAGAAGACTGGAAGCATGATCCAATATCATTTATGAATAAGACAAATAAAAGAGGGCCCAAGATACTGCCTTGGGGAACACCCGACGTAGCTACAAAGGGAGTGGAGAGTATGTTATCAAAAGCAACTGTACAACACCTATCGGACAGATAGGAATTAATTGAGTGAAACCCCAATCGCGATAACTTGTTAATTAAGACTTTATGCGAAACTCTATCGAACGCCTTCGAAAAGTCTGTGTACACAGCGTCCACTTGTAGACCTGACTGCATCGCAGCGACACAGTCCTCCATGAATGTAGCAAGGTTGGAGACAGTTGACCTCCCACTAACAAACCCGTGCTGGTAAGGGCAAATTAAACTTTTCACTGCGAAGTTGAGCTTCTGTTTGACAACTGATTCCAAAACTTTTGGGACAGTGCCCAGTTTGGAAATAGGCCTATAATTCGAAACGTCGTTTTTGTTCCCACTTTTGTAGATTGGTGTAATGAAAGCTTTTTTCCAGTCGTCAATAAAGTAGCCAGACGAAAGAGATTTATTGAACAATATTGTTAATGGCTGAACAAGCGATGGGCACCGTTTGAGCATAGCACCTGAGAGGCCATCAGAATCCAATTTAAAATAGTGCTTTATGGAGCAGATGGCTACTTCTACATCACTTTCGGAAATATGCAGTGCGCCTAAGTTAAGGGCAGAATCTGAAAGAGGGTACCGTTCAGAAGCAACATTAGAATCCGAGACATAATTGGAGGAGAAAAATTCTGC